CTCTGCCTTGAAATTCATTGCTTTCAAGCCAGTGTGTGGCCTGTGCTGCCCTCAGAAGTTCCCTCTATGAAGTACACCCACGCTCTGCAGGGCAGAGAGATCTGCCCGACATCATTAGCTGGATGCTGGCAAGCCACCACCTGTATCCGTGCACGTCTTTGGCAGCAGCCTCTGAACCAAAGGGAGAGGTGAAGTTCTGCGAAGGGGAAGCGAGGGCTTTGTGGAGCTCTCATGCAGGGAATGCCCTGTGCCAGCTCTGCCCTGCTCCCTCCCCAGGCAGGGGAAGCTCACCCTGCTTCTGCAGCTGCTGCCGGAAACGGGCTGCACGTGGCTGACGGCTCACAAAGCTCCCAGGGTTCTGGCAGATGTGCACGGAGAGGTGGAAGCTGGCACAGTGGCTGTGTGTGTGCTGGGAGGGTTGGTGTGGGCAGAAGAGCTCAGAAATCCTGGGACTCCGTGCTCCCAGAAGGTTGCAGGTTGGTCCGGAGTTTGTACATGTGGTCTAAGGCTTGAGTAAGGAAAGTCCCAATGGTGTTGATCTCCATCAGCGTCAGGTTATCCAGCTGAAAGAGGAAGCAGCAGAACTTGTGGAGCAGAGCCGTGCTGAAGGGAGGGCGGCACCCCGAGGGAGCAGCTAAGAGAAGCCTGCAGCTTCTACAGACCAACCCGAGCACTATTTGCCCACTGCTGCTCTTTGGAGAGCCACCAGCAGCCCATCAAGAGAGGTTTCGACACGAGGCTTCAGCACCTGACCCACATTGCCCACGGCTCTGGAACAACACGCCCGACCAGCGCGCCCACAAGCAGCTCTCATCAACCAGCAGCCCACACACAGCAGCTGGACTCCTCCCAGCACAGCCCTGCCTGCATCCCTGCATCCCATCCCACCTCACCTTGGCGTGGGCCTCCTGCTGCCGGACGAAGCTGTCAGCAGACAGCCTCAGTTTGGCCATCCGTGTGTCCCACGTGTCCTTCACCAGCGTCCGGATCTCGTCTGCTTTGGGGATGTTGTCGGAGGCGCTGGAGGAGAGACAGAGGATCAGAACAGCCTCGTGTGTTATGTCACTGGCATAAGTGATGTTGGCAGCCCTTCAGCCCTCTAAGGCAGAAGCAGAGCAGTTTGCTGTATAAAAAACAACAACAACGCCGCGACTCGACGTTAAAATCCAGCCTGGTGCTTCCTGTGCTGGGATTTTTGGGGTGGTTTATTTACCCAGGAATTCTCGGCTCTGATGCAGCATCTGCTTCTCGCTGCAATCCTTCTGCTCTGTAATTGCCCAGCTGGTCCGAGGTACGAGCACAGCCAATAACCTGGCCAAAGCCACACACGGGAGGGGAGCTGGAAGCACTCGGCTGCCACCGAAGCCCGGTCTGTGCTCTCGTGGCTCCATCAGGGAGAGTTAAGCTGAAGGGACTTCACGAGTCGTGCCCTCACGCTCCCATTAAGGCAATTCAGTGCTGCCATAAGGACCTCGAGAGATGAGATCCACTCACACAGACAGAGCTGTCAGGGTTATTGTAGCGTGAGCGAAGACGCCGCACGCCAGCAGCGTCGTCTCCAGAGGAGAAGCCAGTGCTTAAACGACCACCCCACTGTAATCAAGGGCTTCAAGTCAGGAGAGCCTGAGCTTAGAAAAACACCAGCCAGCACATTTTACAAGTGAAATGCCGCAGCAGGCACGAGGTTTGACTCGGAATAACCCCGCTCTCTTGCTTCTCAGGCCGAGCAAAGAGGAGCTTTCCTCCTGAAGGAGAGCCAAGGAAGAAGCCTGGAGGGTTCAGGCTGCTGAACAGATTGCAGCCATGGAATGTGCTGTCTGTACTCGAGGCCTCTACGCTTAGCTGCTGCTCAATAAAGCGGCGCAGCCCCAATTATCAGGGCACAGAACAAGCAATCCCCAGTTACCGAAATGCAAAGCTACCATGAGAAAACGGCTGCAGCGAGATCTTGGCACGCTGTGAAATAAACCCCCATTAACTCTCACTTTCCCACAGCCCTCTGGGGCTGCTGCCAAAGAAAGCTTGAAAAATTGTCTATGCAAGCATGTAGTCAGGTGGAAACTGTTACAATACATTTCCCACTTACTAGTTTAAGAGCAGCTTTGTGAGTTCCATATAATAGGGGCTGGGCATCGGAGTGAAGGTGTCCTCTTTGCGTTCTTGGTCCCGAATTTCCTCCAGCTTTTCTAAAAACACAGACAGGAATGTCAGGCAGTGGCAGAGCTCCAACTCTTCTGACCCACTTCTCCCCCAGCAAAAACAGCACGTTGTTCCTGTAAGACCAAATCTCTGATTCAAGCTGGTGTAAACGTGGACAGTGGACAGACAGGAAAAGGCTTCTATAATGAAGTCAAACACCCCTTACACCTAATGCCTGTCCTGGGCTCTAGGAGCAGCTTTGCCACGGCAGCTCTCAGCTCCCAAGGGGAACAGATTCTCATCAGGGCCAAAATGCTGACAGGCGCTTGGCACAGCACGCTGGATCCACACCAGCTTGACCAAAGCTTTCACCTGCCAGGATTTGTCCCCTTCAGCCACAAAGCACTCGCACTAATGAGTGTTTGTGCCCTTGCATGAATAGAGCAGAACTGCTCCCTTAAGGTCTCTTATTCCTCCACCAACCCCACTCCTGCTCACCAAAGGAGCAGAAGTCAAACGCCCTGACTGGGAAGATGGCATTGCATGCAAATATGAAGAACCCCAGTGGAGAAACACTGGGTTCTTCTCTCACGGTTGCTTTGCATCAGTTCAATTAAGCTCCCCAGTAAGGGTGAAAACCAGAGATTTTTCTGTGTTCCATTTGTACCCTTGGAAGCTGCTGTCCTTACCCACATCCATCCACTCTGGGGGTATCAGCCGGCATTTCTGCCTCTGCTTCAGATTGATGGCCAACCAGACAGGCACTTCCACTGGCAAACCGGGGTTGAAAGGGCCCAGATCCCCCTGGAAAATTAACTGAAGGTGAGAATAAGGCAGCTGCAAAGGGCTTGGATGCCGCAGTCCTCTCTGCTCATTTGGTCTCTGTCACGTCTGGATGGTAGGAACTTCCAAGGGATTTTGAAAAGCCTAAATTGAGTAGCATCTGAATTTCCTTCTCTGGCTTCCCATAATTCTTGCTCGCAGACTTTTTGCTCCTCTCCCTTGAGAAGCAATAAGGAACGTTCCCAGTGCATTTTCTATTTCAAAGCGTTTCACAGAAGTTACTGCCAGGAATTACATTTACCATAGAAGCGTTGCCCCCTGGGCTCAGGCTGAGGCACATCCAAAGGTGCCAGCTGTCTGTGTGCAGCCCCAACCCCCCCCACAGCCCCTGACCCAAACCCCACACCTCTGTCCTCCAATCCCAAATTCCCCATCCTTTATCCCCAAGCTCTCTGGCCCTTGTTCCCAACCCCATCAGCCCCCAAACCAAACCCTCCAAGCTTTATTCCCCCAAATCCCCAAACACCCCCACCTCAACCCCGATTTCCCCTCCCTTATCCCGCAATCCCCCCAGCTCCTGACCCCCAAATCCCCCCATGCTCATCCCCGATCCCTTCAGCCTGATACCCAAACTGACAGAACCAACCCCCCTTTCCCCTCCAAATCCCCCATCCCCTCACTCCCCAGATCCCCAAACTCCATCCCCCCAACGCCCCAACCCTTATCCCCAAATCCCCGACCCACCAAAGCCCTGTCCCCCAAACTCCCCATCCCTTACCCCCAACCTCTCAGAACCCACATTTCCAAACCCAGCCAACCAACCCCCATTCCCACCCCCTCACCCCCAGCTCTGATCCCCCATCCCTTCAGGCCCCTTCCCCCAGTCTCCCCGCTCTTTGTCCCCTCAGCCCCCCAGGCCTCACTCCCCGTCCCCTCAGGTTCCGACCTCAGCCCCCCCCAGGCCTCGTTCCCCCCCGCCCGGTCCCGCTGACCCCGATGAGGTGCACGCGGTCCATGCTGAAGCTGGGCACGATGGTCACCAGCTCCTTCTCGGCCAGGAACTCCGCCTCGGCCGGTTCCATGCGTACAGACCCGGACCGGCGCCGCGCGCAGAACTGGGACGGGAACGGGGACCGGAACCGGCACGGGGCCCGCCAAGCGCCCGCGCTCCCTATTGGCTGCTCGACGGCGAAGCCCCGCCCACAGCACCCCGCTTTCCGCCGTCGGGCCCGTTTTCGCGCTCTCCGTGTGGGGGCGGGACACGGCGCAGCTTGGAGAGAGATGATTGGTTGTTGCATTCGGCCGTGGACCTCTATTGGTTACCTCTATCGGTTCGGAGTCGCTCGCCGCGGGACCAATCCTGATGCCTCCTGGGGCACCGACCAATCAGGGTTCAGCACTTGTTGCCGGGGCGCCTCGGGGCCCGATGTGCCCAGCTACTACTTGTGTGAGCGGCGCTCTGAGCTGCTGCCCCCTGGCGGTCAGGAGGAGCAGCGCCCCGTGCCCCGGCCTTTCCATGGACCGCGGGGCCGGAGGTCTGTCCGTCCGTCCGCCTGGGTGTCCGTGGGCAGCCAGTTGTGCTCATGCGCCAGGCATGGTCTGGCTGCCTGTTCCCTCTATTCATCAGCCAGCACAGGCTCCCACCCATCTGCCCATCCATCCAACCAACCAACCATCAATCTATCCATCCATCCACCCACCCACCCACCCACTTGTCCGCGCATTTCTCCATCCACTCTTCCATCCGTCCACCCATTCGTCTACCCATGTGTCTGTCCATTCATCCATCCATTCATTGATACATCCCATTCGTACATCCATGCCTCCATCAGTCCATCCGTGCATCCACTCTTCCATTTGTCCAGCCACCCACCCACCCATCCATCCACCTCACCTCCTATCCACCCACCCAATCACCCATACTCATCCATCCACCCATCCATGCCTCCGTCTTGAGCCCGAAGGACCAGTGCTCCCCGCCACTCCACAGGTCCCATCAGCCCACACTGGGTAGGTCTGGGGGCTGCAGGAGAGGATCCCCCATCCATTGCTATACCCGTGGTGCCACCAGCACGCGCTGCAGCTCCGCCAGGCACTTTATAAATGGCTCTGACATGGTGTGAATACACTTTTGTGTCTTTTGCCATCTGCTGCTGTCATTAAAAAATTAAATTTCCATCTGCTTTTGCACGCCGTCTTCTCCTGGGGCTCTCCAGCGAAGCAGCACACCAGGAAGCATCACCCCCAGCAGGGCAGGATTCAGCCCTGGAGCAGTACTGAAGCTGTCGGTGTCCCCTCTGGGTGCTCAGCACTGGCTGCAGGGTGGTGACGTCCCCCCCGTCGCCCTCCGTGTGTCCCTGCACAACATGGTCCCTGTGGGTGTGGGTGGTGTGACGATGATGGAGGGCACGTGGAGGTGCTTCCCATCCGGCTCTGGGGTCCCGGTGCTGCCATTGCCGCTGCTCACACACATCTTCAAACCTATAGAAAGAAAGAAAGAAAGGCCAGGGAATAGGGGGTGTATGTTGATGCGATGCTCTGCTCAACCCTATATGAGCCACTGGAGAATCCCCAGAGCCCCATGATGGCACGGCACAACCTTCTTCATCCCTGGTGTTCTCACTGGGGTGCCACAGCCCCCAGCTGCCCACCTGCCTGCTGGGCCATGAAGAGCTCTAATCTGCTGTTTTAATCAAGAGGAAAGCCCAGCTCCACACACAGCGAGCGGCCAGGGAGGTTTAATTCTTCTGCAGGAGGAAAATGCCCGAAGGGGACAGACACTGATATTTTTAATCTCTTTTTAATTAAGGATTAAACCCTGCCTTATGTAAGAGAGCCTCAGGGGGGTGTTTTATTTTACTGCTGTCTCTGAGCCCATCGCAGGAGGAGAGCAGGGGCTGGGGGGGACGTCTGGGGGCTGCACTCCCTTGGCTCTGACCTCACTTTGGGGATGCTTCAGGGCGGCTGATGCATAGCAGCTCCCCTGCGGTGCCAAGGGCTCAGCTCTGGGTGAAGCATCCCTTGTGACAAAGGTCTCCACAGGACAGCGGGTGCAGCGTTTGTGCTTGGGTTGACCATGAAAGAGGACAGGGCATCCCAAATCGTCCTTGGGCACATCCGAAAAATGGATGCGCTCCCACGTGTACAAAATCCATCGCATCCCGTTGGGATTGGGGGAGACCCCATCCCTCCAGCCTCCCCCCCCCCCAGTGCCACGCCACAGCCCCTCCCCCAATATCACATCCCAACCCTTTGCCAAGCGGCATTAAGAGCTAATGGGAGATGTGCTGCTCAGCGTCACGGCGCGTTAAAAGCTCCCACTTCCTTTCTCTCTATGCCACGGCAGACGTCGCGGTTGCTCGACTCCATTAAGAAAATTGAAGTTTGGGGATGGCGATGCTATTAAAGACGCTCGGGGCGAACTTGGGGGCTGGGGTACCCACCTTTCCCCCTGAGCATCCCAGATGCGAGCATCCCAGGGTGCTCCAAAGCCTTGAGCAACCTCAGGACCTTACCCCACATTTTATAAGGCTGGAAAAAATACCCACATCCCCTTCCTTTAACCCGCAGCATCATCCCTCCAGAGGCCAAACCCCTCCTGCAAGCAGCAGCAATACCTTTAGGAGTCAGTAAAGCACCACGTCCCCAGCGCAACCCTTTGCCCAAAACCACCCTGGCACCCACCCAGACCCACCTTTCAGACAGGATAACTTGAGCCCCATGTTCTCATCCTCTTCTCGGGGCCTCGCCGCTGCTCCTGGCTCTCCAGCACTGCTCACTGCATAAAGAGAGAGATGAGGGCTGTGGGGAGCGCAGCGACGGGAAGCGACGCCGGTAATGCTTCGAGCAGGAGGAACGGGAGAGGACTTGATGGCTGGCTAAAAGCATGCACCTATGAGTTTATATATAAATACATAGACATACACACATATATATATATATATGCACCCGAGCGAGCTGCCTGGGCACAACAGGAAGCAATGCAGAAAAACCACGGGCTGATGTCACAGCGTTTCGGTGACTCAATCCCAGCCGCTGAGTTTGGGGAGGAACTTTTTGGGAGGGTGGAGAAAGAGTTCAGCACCCCAGCATTGCAGCCTGTGCTGGGAACCTGCGTCCCTGCTGCTGGGGCTGCGCTGCAAATGCGTTTGGGTGAGGAGGATGCAAGCAGGGCAGGATGGGGGTTGGTGCAAGCAACCAATGCTTGCAAAGAGGAGCCCAAGCCCATGGGCACGAAATATAGGAGGCACCTGTCTGACCTCGCAGCATCTCCCATCCTGGGGTGGCACCTGGGAGCAGAAATAGCCAAACCTGCAGGAGGATGGGGATGTCTGGGACTGGGAGCATCCCTCTGGGTTCCTGTGGTGTGCCAAGAGCTTTTGGAGAAATGCAGGTGGAGAATTCCTAGAGGCAGCTGGTACGAGAGGGGCATTTTCCAAACGGGATATGAAAGGGATCAGGGTGGGTAAAACCTCAGGGACAGAGGTTGACGTTTCAGAGCTGCAGGACACACTGCAGCGTTTCACACTTCTTTTGAGTTGCCCTGGGTGACATCCCCTCACTGAGGAATTTGTATCCCTCCTGCCCACAGCTGATGGGAAGAGGGCTGGTGCCTCATCCCTGCTCTCACCTCACAGGGCCTGCAGGGAGCTGAGCAGCACCTCCCTCCCTGAGCCCCTTCCCCAGGGCTGAACGCGCTCACACAGCCGGGAGAAGCTCAGGCAGAGCGATTCCCCCATCACCATTTTGCTGGCTGGTGCTGGAGCTTCAACTTCGTTTCCGTGTCAGAGAGATGTTTGCATCGCCGATGAGTTCACGCTCCAGAAACCCACAGACACTCATTGCAGGAGTCACCAACGCAGCATCAGCGCTGCACGCGTGGAAAAAGCTCCGTGATGTGCCCGGAGGGGATACCCAGAACACGGCCAGGTCCCAGCAGGTGGGTTGGAAAGGGGGAATGGGACAACAAAAACTCAGCCCTGGCCACGTAGAAGGGGATGCCACTTACCCGTCGCCGTGCCCGCCAAACGTGCCTTGCATCCCAGCTCCCACTGTGAGCTGAGAGGGGGATTTCCAGCCCTGCTCCCATCCGTGTTGTGGGTTTTGCAAGGTTGGTTTCTAACCTGGTTAATCGGGTTGGTGAAGTCCCGGCTCCTCCCATCCTTCCCTCCCTGCTCTCCCCCCCTTCTGGTCCCATCCGAGCCCTGCCAAGGCTGTGGGTGGGTGATGGGGAGCGGTGCTTTTCTCTCACCCCGCACAGCCCAGCCTGGTGCTGAGAGAGAGCTGGAGCCCCTGGAACCTGAGCATCCCCTATGGCAGGAAGGGCACCTAAACATCCCAAAAGCACGGGGTTGGTGTGTGGGTGCTGATGCTGAGGTCCATACCCAGAAAGTGGTGATGCTCCTGCTCCAGTTTTTGGGGCCAGAAAGGGTCTGTGTTTCCCACGGGGTCTCATCTGCCCACCTAAAAAAGCAGCCTAGGGGCAGGACCACGCAGGGGGGCTCTTGCTGCTCTGAGGATGACAGCTCCAGCTTTCACCCTGAGGTGAACAGTGTCTGCCTTCGCCTGCATTAAAAGCAGCCAGAGGTTTTTGCATATCCGACTCCTTTGCAGTGATGAGAGGAGATGCTCCCTTCAGAGAGCTGAAAAGCAGAGATTCACATCCAGGGCAGCGTCACATCCAGGGAATCCCTCCTCACAGCCTTCCTGGCTGCAGGCAGGAGCCAAGGGAAAGCCTCGAACCGAGCAGAGGACAGAGCTCAGGAAGCACCTGGAGGCCGAGGCCCAAAAAACAGACAGATGAATGGGGCATGCACTTTTCTGCCTGGCCAGCAGCAGAGTCCAAGATGCAGAGGGCACTCAATGCACACAGCATCCCTGGGGGTCCCCTGCCCTCACCAGACTCAGCAGCACCAATTCGGTCTGAACAGCAAAATCCCCTCCGTTTGCTATTTAATGCCTCTTGAAGTCCTTCTTGCTGCTGTTTGGAGGGGACAAAAAGCCCCAAACTCCAGAGTCCTGGATTGAACCGGGGCAGGAGCAGCAGTTGTGTTTGTTGCTGAAACAGGACCTTGCGAGCAGCTGACAGAGCTGCCTTGCTGCAGCTGGGAGGTGAACAGCAACAGCAGCGAGCTAAAATAACTGTGGTTAGCTCTGCGGGCTGAGCACTTCTCCAGCTGGGCCGGTGACACCTGAAAGGCACAGAGACACCTTTCTGCAGCCTTCCCCACAGGCTGGTGGGGGCAAACAGCCCTGGGCACGTTTACAGTGTTCCCTTTGGTTCAGCCACCAGCCGGGCTCATTTTGGAAAAGGAGAAAGCATCCCAAAGAAAATCCCCTGGGGTAACAGCAGCAGGCCTGGGCAGAGAGGCAGGAAGCAGCACGGCTGCTGTTGCAGAGAGCAGAAAGGGAAGCAGAAAGCGAGCACGTACCTTAAGCACAGGGCTGGGCTCTGCTGCCAGAACCACATCCAGAGCGATCTGCTGCCCTGCTGGGCATGGCTTCAGCAGGTAGCACAGGGCCTGGGCTGGGAATTGGCTTTGAGACCTGGCCACCGCTTCCCAGCTCGCTGAGCTCCAGGTTAATCTGAGCCCAGCTTGCCCTTTTATCCCCTCTGTACATTTTTTTTCTTTTCAATTAGGTCTGCTCTTAAGCTCTGGAGTGCGTTTCTAGGAAGGGCTGCATTATTTCTCCAGCCTTCCCGAGCTGCTGCTGTGCAGATCAGGGCATTCCTGGCACCGCTCCCTCCTGCACCCAGCTCCAGTGCTGCGTGCTGGGTTGCTCCCATCTGCTCCTCTGCACTTGAAAGCAGCGAGCCCTGCTGCAAGGGGCTGAGTTGGGGCACTGCACAGCCACACAAACGTGGAAGGATTTCACCTCTTGCACAGTCCTGTTATTGGAAGCTCCATCCCACAGCCAGCAATCTGCCTCCATCCTCCCCGAGGACACGATGTGCCAGCCAAAACCGAAACGCACAGGGAGGGTTTGCTTTGGGATGGGGATGGGAAGGTTGGGTGAAAACGTGGTCTAAAAGCAGTGGTAAAAAATTAAAATCAAAATCAATGGAGCTCTGAGCTGACGCTTAAGCGGAGTGAAATCACTGCCTGCCCCTGGAGGGCTGGCTGCAGGCAGTACAGCAAGCAGCATGGGAGCACGAAGCATTGACAGAGAAGTCAAATTGAAGCCTGGAGGAAAAGAACACTGGTAGAATGGGAAGGAAGCAACCTCACAGCATCGCCTACCCAACCCAGCCCAGCTCCCCGCAGCATGCAGGCAGCAGTGTGCAGCTCGAGCACTGCTCTTCCAGGGGCTGAATTACAGCACAAACCCCGGGTGCAGCTCAGAAGTGCAGGCTAAGTGCGTTTCCCCTGGAGGACGTTTCCCAAGCTGCAGCCAGTGCTGCTAACAGCCTCTTCCATTAGCATTTGCCTGCTCTTCCCGTATCAGTAATGCCCTCCATCTGAGCATCTCAAGGCATTTCACAAAGGGCAGCAGCAGAGTGCAGGGATTAGGCTTCTAGCCAGGGAACAAAGAGACCCCAGTTGGCTCCCTGCGTCTGCCACTGCCACCTCCCCTGGGTGTGCATCCCTGCCACACAGCTGAGGGGGCAGGGGGTGACCTCCCAGAGGTTCACCTCCTCTCCATCCCACCAGCTGAGATGCTCTCTGCTTCCACAGCCCCTTTGGCTCTCAGGAGTAAGGCTGTGCTTGTTATCACACTGCCAGAGATGGGGGAATATCCCATGAGCAGCACAGCTGACAGATAGGAGGGGGAAAGGGAAACTTCAGCAGCAGGCCGTTCCACTTGCTGAATTAAAAAAATAGGTCCTAAGCACGCACACAGCAATGAGCTCACAGAGAACACGGATGCAGTGTGCTCCCCAGCAGCAGAAATCACTCCCAGCACAGGCTGAGCCCCAGCCAGCCACTGCTCTCCCTGTTCTGATGTGCTCAGATATCTCATTGAAAATAACACCCCAGGGCCCCCTCTGTTCACTTCTGGATGCCTCGAGCTGGGGCTGTGCGTGGAGGTTCTGACCTGCTATCAGAAGGCTGGAAGTGCCCTGGGCCACACAGCAGCTCGTGTCCTGCCTCGGGGCACTCCTTGTGTTCCTGGGCCTCAGATCGATCCCATCTTTGATTTCAAACTGAATTGGCTTTACAAAAAGCGTGCTCAAGCCTTTTGCTTCTCCCCCTTGTGACTGAAGGATACAAGGTTAGCGTTCCTGTGGATCCAGCAAAGAACAACATACATCCTCCCAGTCAGAAACCCAAGTGCTCAGTGCTGGCATTTTCATGCACTTGCAGAGTCTATTACTGCTCTGAAATACTGCATAGAAAGCAGGAAAAAAACCACAACTCTAACACACCTCAACAAACACACAAGTGTCTTAGGTTTGAGGTGAAGAGTTGGGAGTTCAGTGCCTGGACAAACACCACATCTGCAAATCATAGAATCACAGAACGGCCTGGGTTGCAAAGGAGCACAGTGCTCATACAGTTCCAAGCCCCTGCTGCGTGCAGGTCACCAACCAGGCTGCCCAGAGCCACATCCAGCCTGGCCTTGAATGCCTGCAGGGCTGGGGCATCCACAGCCTCCTTGGGCAACCTGTGCCAGTGCCTCACCCCTCTCTGTGTGAGGGTGAGATCTCTCAGGGAAGAAAAACTAATTAGACCTGCACGTCATTAACTGCTAACAAAACGTAAGAGTGGTTCCAAGGTGGAGATGCAGAATCCTTCCCCAGAAGTTTTAAAAGCAGTTACCTTGAGCTCCTCTGAAGAATCCTGTACATCTGCCAGCCAGGCGACCAGCATTTGTTCTGACAGGTGGGCTGAGGACATCAGCAGGGAAGGAGAACACAGCCTTCAGAAGCTGGCAGCTTCCTCATTCTTCCACAAAGAGCCACTGGGGCTCCAAGCCGCCTTGCCTTTATGAAATGGCTGCTTTCGGTCCAACCTTCAATGCAAACAGGACAGGCGTGATAAGATCTGAGCACTGCAGTGCTTGTTCCTTTTGCTTGAGGTCAGCCTGCCTCCTTACAGGTGGCAAAACACTCAAAGCATCTCGTATGAAAGCCAACTGAAGACAAAGCAGTGAAAGCTGCTCTCCTTCCAGCAATGAGTCTTGATGGTCACAGGCAGCATTCATCCTTTCCACCAGGTTGCAGCCTGATGATATACACACTTTGAGAGGGTGAAGGGGGGGAGATTAGCCCGTATTAGCATCTATACAATCAAAGCTTGATTATGACATCTAGCTACAGAGAATGAGAAATGGATTTCCTGTGGCTCAGCTTACACTGCAGCACTGGTTCACCATCTCACACAGCTAGGTGTCCTGTTAAGGCAACACCTGCCACTGCAACAACGGGGCAGAACTTGAGGTGTTTGCAAAGGAAGACAACAGTCCTCCTCCTGCAGGGTGAGCTGCATGGCTTACTTCAGCCTTATGCTGCTGGGTCAAGGCTGCTTCCAGGATTTGTTGTTTCAGTGTGTGAAATAGAGTTGTGGCTGTGTAGCATAAGGCACCAAAACGTGTTCATCTTGCTGCTTCTGAGCTAGATGTGTATTCTCTTCCTTTCCTGCCAGCATATCAGACTCGTGATTTGGAAAGACTGCTGCTGACTGTGTGCCCGTGCTTCTTGTGAAGCCCATCACAACTTACTGCTGCATAGCAGGCAGGCAAACAAAGCCACTGAGTTCAAATCTTCATCCTAAAATAGGAGGGAAACAGTGCTACAAAGCTTCCTCATTGCCCACTGAACTTACCCTTAGGAACAAGCAAGAATCAGAAAGACAGCTAAAAGCTGAACAAAATGTAATCTGGGTTGCTTGATACAGACATTTCCCTTCAACTCAGAGGTGTGTTTCAGGCTTACTTAAATGAATACCAGCTGAAAATCAGAACTGCATAAAAGACAGACAGAAAAAAAAGCTGCATAGAAACAATACTGTATTTCACCCTCTCCTTTTGTAGTCTTAAAAGGATTTTAGAGCTTTCATTCAATCTCGTCATTTCAGGCTTCAAATCAAACCAAACAGAAAAAATCACACGAGGTGAGCATCCCATTTTACTTTGTGTTTTAACTTTTCCAGGCAATAACTATGGTTGTGTGTCCAGGGTCAGCAGAAATGACTGCAGCATTTGGGAATACAGCCCTAGTGCATTTTCTGTAGCTGTGTCATGCAAAACCACTGCAGATCAGGTGACACCTGAGCATGGCACATCATCCTCAGCAGTATGCATTATGCTGCAGTGAAAAAAGGCCATTTCCAGCCAGGCCAGAGAAAAAACTACCCTGAAACAGTTAACTTTTGATATTTGACCTCAAAATACCTCATCTGAGGACAAAACTGGTTTGTTTGCTGCTTGTTGGTTTTTTCTTTTTTTTTTTTGGAAACCTATCTTCATAAATCTTTAAAAATTATTCTCTCTCTCTCGAGTACAAAAGCTTAGTCAAAACTTGGTGATATGAACAAGGGGAAATAAGCAGGAGTCGTTCTGGTTTTGAAGGAATAGCAACATTCACTGCAACCAGGAAGGCATCCACGGGGACAGCTGGAACTGACGGCGTGCAGCTCTGCCAATGAACCTCACGACAAGGATTCAACAGCTTATAGGCACATCACCCTTGGCAATGTGATGTGTCACTCCAGCTTTCCACACCAGGTACTGAATATTATTCTATTTACATTCAAAAATATCATCTTTGTCTCTTCAGTACGTAGTGGGAACGTGAGTCAGTAGGAAGCCTTCTAACACAGGTGGAGGACAGCTTTGTTGATCTCTGGGTTTGTCCAGTCGTTCCGGATGTCATCCAGGTGGTTATCAAAATCCACGAGTGTTTCATAGGACTTGCTGTCCAAGAGAGATGCAGCAATTCTCTGAGCTTCACTCCAATCTTCACAAAAATCACTAGGAAGCCAGATAACCACTAATTAGCCACGATCACAAAGGAAACCTCCTTCACCTCCTCCACTGAGGGCCATTCCTCCCCACCCCTCAAAGGAACAAGCTCTGATGTTTACTCACACATGTGGGTCTTTGCACCTCCACTTGTTCTCGTGAAGCTCGTACACGTGAATGGCAGGTTCCAAGCACTCCATTGTGAACTTGGTGTTATCAACCTGGTGTGCAATAGAAAAACACCACCTCAGCCTTCTCCAAACCCCACGTAAAGAGGTGAAATTGAAAAAGAAATTACTGACAGGACAGCTGATACCAATTCATCCACCAATCTGCCTTCACACGAGATGACTTTTCCATGTTTAAGCCACCAGCACTCTTGGTGGCTCCATTTGTTTCATATATGATCTTAAAGGTCCCTTCCTACCCAAACCATTCTGTGATTCTACGTGAGACAAGAACTGAAGTCAGGAAAGGAGTCCATCGTGCTAAATGCAGTGCCTTTGTTCAAACCTCCCACAGGGAAGGTCCCCACTTCCCCTGAGACAACAGAGAGCTAACCACAGGCAGCTCCTAGGAACCACACTGGCTACAAGTCACTGCATCTGCATCACAGAGCAAATTGGTTGCCTCACTATTATAGATCCAGAGAATGGCACGTAGCCTGGTGTCATGGCCATAGGATGAACGATGCAGAAAGAGGAAAAGATGAAGTATTTACCATGATGAGTGCTGTATCGTTAAAGCCCTCTGCAATTCGGGAAGCCACCTTCTCAGCAACCTGGGTTGGACTGCAGCAGAAGGGAAAAAGAATTGTGTTATTTGAGCTGTGACTCTTCGGCTTAAAACAACAGGAAATGTGCTTCAAGGGCTGTGAAAATTACAGAGCTTGCTTACAAACCAGAAGGAGGCACCACGTTGCTGTTACACTTGATTGAAAACAGCAAGCCAGGAAAGCCCCACCTTCTCCCTTCAGCACAGGGTCTGTGCCCAGGCAGTGCAGTAGCAGATTGCATGCACAGCCAAGGCCTTGGGGTCTTCTACCTCTTTCTGCCAGACCAAGAACCCAGACAGGCATTTTACAAAGAAACTCCACCTGAGTGCTCCCCATTCTGAGCTCACTCACTGCCCAGCTGCTCCACAGAACCAGATTTCTTCTAAAGGACAACCTTTACTCCCTTTCAAAGCTTGCAAATCTCTATGCTGTGCCAGAGATGAAGTCTTGGGGTTGGAAGAAACAAACCTGTCAGTCTTTCAAACCACAATTGGAACAGACAAGCTGCATCTTCTTTAGAATACCTTCAGCAGAGCTGTTTCCCTCATAAGGAAAAGGCAACGCCTGCATCCCTGCTAGGGAGCCAAGCAATCACAAACACGAGCAAGGTAACTGGAACACAGCATGATCCTTTAAACAAGCATGATACAACCTCAATAGTCTTGATACTGGATTTGCCTAATGTATGTAAGGAGAAACATGTGATATATGTACACATCAGTGGCCACTTGACTGCTAATTTCATAATTTTTAAGGGAGGGGGAGGGGAAAAGACCATTCCTGGGGAAAACAAAAAGAAAAAAGGATCTCTGCTTGACTGACATCATCCTACATTTCAAGAGGGAGCCTCTGCCATGTCAGAACTTCCTTCCATAGAACTCAGTGACAATTAAGCAGTTTTATTAGCAAGAGTTAGGTCACTTCTAAAAGACTTTCCAACTGCTATTTAGAGTCACTTGAGCTTGTAAGATATTTACAGCACAAGCAAACACGCCTGCAAATTTTGGCTATATCCCTGACAACTGTAATTAAACTGGCTGGCAGCCATTCAAATACTGGCCTTTTATAGCATCCACTACAGAAGAGTGATTCTGGAAAGCCTGAGGTTTCTGCACCTGAACAAAGGCCGCAGCCACCAGCAGCACGAAGACAATACGAAAGCAGATGAAAGTTGTCAAAGTTAATCAACGCTCACGGTTAACGAGGATGATTTCTGCTGGCAGAGTGCAAAGCACAAGAGAAAAGAGCAAACAGAAGGAAAAAACTGCACCAACACACCTGGCATCTTTCACGCGTTCATTCGCCTGGTAATATCCAGCTATCACGTAGCTGTTCTCTTTGCACCAAGAGTCAATCTGAAAAAGTAATTGGAACAATTAAGCTTAAGGGTGGGGGGGAGGGGGGAAGATGAGAAGGAAATCCCGTGTCTGGCTGTGAATAAAAGAAGTGAAGCACTGCAATGCCTCTGCCATTGCTTCAGAACTCCTATTGGTGTGCACACACGCACAGGCACACCTGAAGTTCACCTACCAGGGCTCTTCCTTAGAACTGAGGGTACTGAGGCAGGAGAACACAGAAACAGGGTAACATCTGAAACAGAGAAAGCAGCTGGGATTTTCCTTTGCTGTCCTTAGAGAGCGTGCATCAAAAACAAAACCCCAAACCTCAACAGCTGTATTAAAATGGATTCCAAAATCGTATCTGATGCTGACCCTCTAAGTCAAATCAATCTCATTTCTAGCAATAATTACAGTATCAGACTGCATCAACAAAAAAGCCACGTGAATAATCCCTCCTCTACAAGGGATGACATGGATTTACACAGTAAAATCAAGGCTGTGCTGCAGCTGAGGGTTAACTGCTGTTTCAATCGTGAACCCATTCTGAGGGTTTAGAGTGATGGTTTTAATTGGTGAAAGCTTGGCATTAAAGCCAGAAACCCAGACACAAGAATGTCATAACTAATAACAGTCATAATAATAATTTGTTGTTTTAAAACTAAAGGCCTCAGCCCTACATTAGCTTCTGCTGCCTTCGAAATAAGGCTTTTTGAGTTCAGTTTGGGGATAAAACCCCAAACCAAACCAAACCAACCCCCCAAAACAACCCTCCTGGACTTCCAGATGTGTTTCCACCTGCAATTTCCAACCAATCTCAACCACTGGATCTGGTTCTGCACCAGCAGAGCACAGACTTGACCAAACAACAGCAGCAACTGAGCTGGAAGAGAACTAGGCCCCACCAAAACCTGCCACAGCTCCTCAGTCCTACTGGGACACAGGCACTTTAGTTACAAGCACTGACTTTCAGCTATGCTAACCTCACTGGTTTATTCAGCAATCATGTGTTACATTGCACAGGACAGGCAAAAGAGCTCTCCTTCTCAGCATCACAGGGATAAAAAAGCTCACTTATAGCTGCCCTGCCAGCATTTATTGACACCTGTGCCCTCGTTTAACTAAAGAAGGGGAGCAAAAGGCCACGGGCTTTTTTCCAATGATGTGTTTCAAGCACCATAAGAGTCATCAAATGCGACTGCAAACTACAACATGTTTTATTAAGTCCTAATTAACGTGGGAAATATCAGGGGGTTCCCCAGCTTTGCCTTTATGTATCAAAAACAACGAGCAAACACTTAAGGCCACACCATTTCTTAGGTTCCATAACGATTTCACATGCTGGTTCCTACAGATGTATCCATGTATTCCAGACTTTGCAAGAAACAGGATTTGTTTTCTAATAATCTGATCTTACAGCAAGATCTACAGCAGAATATTTCACTGAAGGCCTAAAGCTTTGTATGGGAACTGCTGAAGCCTGAACCACTGATTGAGCACCTGGGGAAAGAATCCAGGGAGCACAGGTGAAGGCAATTCATGTGTGGGACCAGGAGGGGTGGATCCTGGCTGCACCTCTCTTAGCCCTCATTTAAGGGCTGACTGCCCCTGGGGAAGGTTCTTTTCCTGGAGGTCCCTGCTTGGTGAAGCTTTCCTCTGTGGCCCTGGAATCTTCTGGTACAGGTGAGCAATCTTCTCCTTTTCCTTTACAGCACCTTTGCTGGTCCTTTCTGTCACCACACCTCTGGTGTAATGCCTTTCCCACTGTACTGACTGCCCAACTGCTATAAGCCTGTAGAAGTTCACTGCCCCAAATCCTGTACAAAGAATTGATTTGAAGACAAACCCTCTACAGATTTCAAGCATACCATGTATCTTATCCAGTACCTCATTAGAAACTAGCAATTATTTGTTCCTCCAGGACAAACAAACTTTTCTGGCAAAGGTGATCCCTACATCAGAGCATTTATAAGCAGAATTATTGCGTTTTCCCAGAAATAAGAGAGAAAATAATAAGTGGAGACAGAGAGAAAACGACTACACCAGCAGCATATGCTCTTTAGCTACTCTTGTGTTGTTACACTGGTGTAAATCCATTTGAGGCTGCCAGGTTTGTGTGCTCCACAGCCATGTGGCAAAGCAGCATGGCCAGGACTCAGACCATGCCTGCATTCCAGTGTCTCAAGGCTGTATTTAGTCAAATCCAAAGACATCTTACCATTAACACTTCCTTGACATAACTGCATTTGGAGAAAGCAGTAATTTGTTTACAAATAAGTACCTTTTGACAAAGCAATCTGTTAAACTGAGGGAACTGCTCAGGTCAGGAAGTCTATGCGACTCAAAACCTTGTTATACTTACTGGTATCAGGGAGGTGTGAGTTTTCTACAGCTAATAGCATGTCTGAAAATGGGTAGGAAAGCCTGCAGCTTAAATCATGCACACACCTCAGCTGTGTGGTGATGATGCCTACAGCAGAACAGTATTGTCTCCCTGCTTCCAGTTTCATGGGGCACTGGCCCACCACAAATCCCCATTCAGATGAAATCCAAGCCCATTTCATTCCCTTTGGCCCCTGCTGTTGACAAAGCAACTGTCCTAATGTGCAAAGTGGAAAGGAGCAATGATCCAGGACAGCTCCTGGTCTTCATGACTCGTAGGCTGAGGCTGAAAACTGAAATGTGGGAAGTGCTGATGTTGATGATGTGGTGGAAGAGCTGTGCCAGGGGAAATTTGGGTTAGATATCATGGATAATTCCTTCTCAGTAAGAGCAGTGAGGCACTGGCACAAGGGAATGGTGGGGTCACTGTCCCTGGAGGTGTTCCAGAACAGTGGAGATGTGGCACTGAGGGACACAGTGGGCACTGTGAGATGGCTTAGGGTGGACTTGGCGATCTTGGTTATCTTTTAAGCTTAATGATTCCATGATTCTATGAGGGAATGTCCCACAGCAGCAGGCAAGCTATGGGGCAGTACTGTAAGACTGAGGCTGCACATGGGTGAACTTGCCATAGCTTTGCCCAGGGGAGATAAGAGATGAAAAGTGAGCTTGTGACACACAGGATGAGATTTTACCATGCGTGCAGCATGAAGAGACTTCATTTTCTTTTCCTGTTTAGACAAACTGCTGCCATTAAGAAGGAAGTTGATAAAACTGAATTAAAACAGGTACATGTGCACAAGTATCACGTTCTGACTTCAATGTAAGGTAGGTGATGCTGCTTCAAGGTAAGGAAAGAAAAACCCTTTCTGCTGCACAATACGGCCCTTCAGGCTGGATTTCTCCCAGCATGACACCACACTAAAACCAGCAGATTCCCCACACAGACACAACTACCCAACACCGTGCACAGAGAAGCCTTGCAGATGTAAGGTCACAGCGTGCAGCTCTCGGGGCTCTCTCCACTCCACAAGCTCTCTCCCACACTTAGCTATGAGCAGCACAGGCCTGGCTGCACTCCACCCCCACCGTTCTCCCTCCCAGGCTGAAATCTCTTCCCGGCCCCCCAGCCGAGGCCGTACCAACGTGAGGGCCACCTCCAGCATCGGCGCCAGCGCCAGCGTGCCGTGGAACAGCGGGATGCAGTCGACGAATAGCGAAGGCGGCCCGGCCTGCTCTCGGCCCCGGCTCCCCGGCGGTCTCTCGGCCACCAGCAGCCCGTTCACGGCGCAGTGCGGGTACTTGGCGCCGTGCAGCACCATCTTGCAGTAAGCCTGTGTGGTCAGCTTCATCCCGACGGTACCGCGAAGCGCAACCACTCCTCAGACCGCCGCCTGCCGTAAAGAGCGCCCGCGGCCGTCCCTCAGACCGCCGCCTGCCGTAAGGCGCGCCCGCCGCGCTGTCGTAAAACCCGAGAGACGGTCCTCCCGCATCCCATCAGCCACCGCGGCGGAGGGAGAGTACACCCCCCCCAGCGCCGCTCTCCTTCTCCTGTGCCGAGTTCCGGCGTGCGCTGCGCTTCCGGCCGGCGGCTCCTTCCGGTGGAAGCCCGGCGTAGAGGACGGTCGGCAGGTCGTCGGGCTGGGAGGCCGCGGGAAGGCGAGGGAGGGCCTGGGGGACAGCGGGAGGGCTTAGGGGACAGCGGGGACGCTCGGGGTATGTGGGGCACCGTTTGTCGCCGCCTCTGGGTCGGCCCCGTCCTGGCGACCACGCGCTGAGGGCCGCCCGCCGCTTCTCGAAGGGGTCTCATCGGTGTTGCCGTGTGACGTCATATCGGCGATATGATGCCATGTCATGCGGTGTCCCCGCCGCACTGGGGGGGTTGAGCAACAGCTCAAAGGCAGAGGTACACTTCTGCTGTGGGGATGTGTTGGGTTTTATGCTGAAACCCGGGAGAAATCCGCAGCCTGGAGCAGGAAACGTTCTTAGAAACCGTTATTGAGCGCCTGCTGCCCGGTGCTGGAGCTCCACTGCTCTGTGAGGTGCTTCCAGGCCCAGCATGAGGCTCCATGCCACCAGCACTGGGCTGCTGAGGGCATCTTGCATGGCTGAGCCATGCACGATGCTGGAGGCTGCTGGAAAATGGGATGCATTGCACAGCTCCACTGGTGTGATGCTACTGTAAAGCTTGGAGCAGTTTGCTCTGTCCTTCAGAGTAGATGCAGGAAGCCCAAAGGCAATAACACTGAGGAATATTATTTCAGTTTAATGTATTTATTGTCTTCAGCTGACAATGATTTATTTACCTGTTGTTGTTCTGACCTGGCAGGATGTTGGCTTCAAGAGCATTCAGCCTCATTGGGAGAAGAGCCCTTTCCACCTCCATCTGTGTGAGGGCGCATGGGCATGGTAGGTGGCACTGCTTTGGTTTTAGTGGGGACAATAAAAGTGGTGTTTGAGAGGAAGGATACAGAATGCAACTATTAGGATCCTTGAAGGTGAGGAAGAAAGCTTTCTCCCAGCTACAGGCTGGTTCCCAATAGCAAGGGAAGCAAGTGGTTAATTATGTTGTTAGATGTATCAGTGATGTATCCCCGTACAGCTATAGGAGACAAATAACACGAAACTTGTCCAAAAGACTTGTATAAAGCATAGAATAGCTCAGTAATTCTGACTCTGTGATGTTATTTGCTGGAGACAGCTCTTTGGCATTACATGTTCTTGCAGAAATTGCTATTTTGAATGCTCTTCCTGTGCCATTTCCTGTGTGCCTGCTGCAGCTCACGTGTGGGTAAGGTAGGATGCAGGACAACGGGTTGGCAAGGTTAGTTTCTCAGCCTGGCAGCAGAGGCAGTGTTTGGGCAGCACCTTTGCCAGCAGATGGCATTGCAGAGGTGGCACTGGGGTTAATTGATGGAGAGCAGAGGGCCTGGACTGGGAAGGAAAAGTGTAGAGGACTTGTGTGTGTTGAGAAGGGAATCAATATGACAGCTAGAAACAGAGCTGGGATTGGCTTGGGGATTAACAGTTTAAAGCCATTTTGCATATTACCTTTTGATTAGATTTGTAGCTACTTGATTCTTCTAAAAATTGCACTCATTCCAAGTAGGTTCTCTCTTGTCTTTCTCAGTGATGAAGGCTTGGGCCAGAAGTCTTTTTCCTCCCCCCCCAAGTTTACTTGACTGCTGTCATGCTTTAACTGCGCTGTTGGCCTTTTGTTTGTATTGTAACCAGTGAGAGATGTTTGTGCAGGAGTCAGAAGTTTGATTCTTGTCTTTTCTGTGCCCAAACACAGCTGGTGTTGTCAAAGCAGAGGATTTCAGCCATCCAGCATATGTTGATCGCCGTGATGTTCCCCTGCCAGAAGCAGCCTTTGTGAAGGAGCTCTCTGCTCAGCAGAAGGCTCTGAAAGAAAAGGAAAAGGCATCTTGGACCGCTTTGTCTGTTGATGAGAAAGTTGAATGTAAGCCTCTAAATAACCTTACAGCTAGCAGTAATGAGACCTGATCTGCTGTGTGTTCATTACCAATGACTTACTAGAAAGGCATTCAAAGAAGGTGGCTCTAAGCTGCTGCTAAGCCCTGCTTTACTGAGCGGATCTGTGGGCAGAGACTTGAGCCATGAGAGCACTCTGTTAATTATGATGGAGCACAAGTAGAGATCAGTGGTTTGTGTGGCTTGTGTTCTTACTGCTGTTGCAGGGAGCTAGATGTGCCTGTTGGTCTCTGTTATGTGCCTGAGGTCATGCAGTGCATCTGACAGAAGGTATTTAGCTAACTGTGGGTCAGGCTTAGCAAAGAGCCTGTCTTCTCTGAGAAAAGCCTGCTGTTACAACCAATATTCCAAATTAGAATCAACAGTATCTAATTAGTCAAGCTGATTGTCCCACAGCTATTCCTGCTGTGGGAGGGCATGGTAGGATTTCTTATCCATTCTCTCGTCTGTTGAGAGGTGTTCTAGTTGCTCTAGTAAACTAAACTGAAGGCTTGGAGGGATAGATTGCTATCTTTCAAGTCCTACCAATGAAACTGGAAGGGTGAAAAACTGGACCCTGTATATTTTACTGTTATTGACCTTGGCATCCCCAAATTTCAGCTGCTTAAAGTGCCAAGCAGGTGTTCTGCCTTGCAGATAAAACTGTCATCCTTCTAACAGCCGTTGTGTTGTGCAAGTGAGAGCCTGTTTGATGGGATCTGTGAAGAGCACAGCGTCCACCAGTGTCCTGGCAAGAAGATGTCAAGCCCTCTCAAATATTCATAGGCACTTTCCAAATCAAATGCTGCTTTGAGCTTCGTGAGATGGAGGTCTTGTTGGCAGAGCTGTGAGAAGCCTTTTAAATATAAGCATTGCCATTGAAACCCTTTGTGTTAAGGAGCTTTATGGTAAATAGTGATACTAGGAATTGAAGGGAGGGAAGGAAAGCTCCATGACTTCTATTATGCAGTCTTTGCACAACTTTACAGTCACATATAAAAGAGAGAGTAACGTTTCTTTCTTCATGAGGGGAAGGTGAAATGCAGCTCATTTCCTTTGGCACAGATGCATTGATCTTGGCATGGAGGGTGTCAGGTAATTCGGAAGATATTTTAACATCTCTTCCATACAGTTTGAAGCTTTAGTTTGCCTCCAGCAAGTGATGTGTTGCCTGCGAGCTGCAGCAGAAGTAAAAAGAGATTATTTGATGCTTAATGTTTTCTTTCTCCAGTGTACCGTATCAAATTCAATGAGAGCTATGCAGAAATGAACAAAGGAACAAATGAGTGGAAGACCGTCCTTGGTGGAGTGCTTTTCTTTCTTGGCGTATCTGGCCTCATCCTCATCTGGCAGAAAATGTACAGTAAGTAAACACTGCGTGGTGTCCTCCCCCCTGATTTGAGAGAGCAGTTGAGATCTGATTGTGACATCAGGAAGTGCTCCCTAAATGGCTCTGTTTCAAAATGCTTTGTGGAACAGCCGTCCTGGTGCATCCCTAGCTTCTGAAAACTCCATTCTGGAGTTGAGACTGACTGGATGTAAGCAGGTATGTAGCATGAATTGTCAGGCAGTTGATTTGTGGAGAGGTAAAGTTACTGGAGAGAGTTCTGGAGGAAAGAGGAGGGGAAAGAATAGCAGTGTGCTGATGATCCCAGAGCTTTCCCTGGCTGTGAAACCTGCTGCTGCAAAAGCTTGCTGCCTTCTTGGTCGTAAACATTTGGGTTTCTGTCATGCTTGGCTTCCTTCCCAGCTAAAGATCCTACCTCAGGGGAGCCCTCCAGCTGCCGTGAGGCAAAGCATGCAGCTGAATGAGCTGCTCTCTATCTTGAGGCTTCATCTACTTGTGGTGGAAGTTAGGAGAGGGCTGTTGTCTTGGCTGATGAGCAGAACTCATCAAGAGAATCAACCCCAGAATCTGCTGAGCTGAATGCTTCCAAAACTTGATTTGGGGATCTTAGGTTTGAACAGGTGATGGTGCACGTGTGATCAGCTGTGTTTGCTTCAGAGGGAAAAGCTTTCTGTTGGGAACAAAGGTGCAAGTGTTGCTGAGTTGTTAACTTAGTGTGGTGATGTTATTGTGGTTTTAATTGCAGTGTACAGCCCTGTTCCTCACACCTTCTCTGATGAGTGGCTGGCAATGCAGACAAAGAGGATGTTGGACATGCGGATGAATCCCGTGGAAGGCATCTCTTCCCAGTGGGATTATGAGAAGAACGAGTGGAAGAAATGAAGCAACTCAGCTCTGCTTGAATATGAAATGATTCCATCACCTGTGCGTGACCTCGTTGCTTATGTACTGGAACAATCTCTCCACCTAAATAGATGAAAATAAACATCTGGTTAACTTGAAAGCTTTGGTTTTATTGGTCTTCGGATGCGTTTGTTGTGATGGTCATTTGTAGTGCAGGTTGATGGGCAGGGTTTTTTCTCCATATATCCTTGTAGTGATTGTTATATAGACAGCATTAATCAGTTAAGGGGAGTGAAATGCTTCTATTTCTTGTTGGGGGGAGGATAAGTAAGATGAAATGTAGTTTGGAAAGTGTGTTTTTTGTATTCGTTGCCTTGAAATTGAAGGGGTGAAATTCCACCTAGCTCTGCAATGGGCACTGCTGAATGTTCAGGACAGTCATCCTACTGTCCTGGCACAGGAGTAGCTCCTCAGGAGCTGCAATACCTTTATTTCTTAACTCCTCTTTAAGGCTGCATTTCTGGGACACAGCCAGGAGTGGCAGTGCTCTGAACTACATGTAAGGTAAGCAGATCCCAGCTCCTGGGGAGGCTCGGTGTCCCATAACTCAGCACCAGAAATAGCTCTGCAAAAGGCAGCAGTGCTGAATCAAAGCACGGAGGGCACGTGGTGGAGATGAAGGCTGCTTCCCTTGTCCTTGTAAAGGGGACTTGGCTCTGCATTCTTGTCCTCAACTGCTTTTCCCATCTCAACAGCATGGGCTGCAGAGCTGGCTGAAGTGTTTTGTGCAGCCTCAAGTGAGGAAGAGAGAGAAGTGCCCGTTGTAGCTCAGGGTTTAGATGTAAATCCAGGAGGTGTTTCTTGCCTTGCCTCTTGTAGCTGGGTGCTGTTCAGAGAGGGTGGCTGTGGTTGAGGGGAGGGAAAGAGAAGCCACGCTTTGTGGGAGCAGCCCAGATGTAAAGGCAGTGTTCTGAGCAAGCTCTGGTTCACAGCTCAGACGTGGCTTAAGGTTTCCAGAGCCTGAGCTACGAAGGCTGGCGCCTCTGTATTTGCTTTGCTCTGTCTGTAGCTGCCAAGCTTTGTTTTCCCTTGGGTTATCCACTAATGCACGTCCTAGGCTTCCTCCAGGCAAATCCCAGTCTTTGCTTTTAAAGCAGCCCTCTAAAGATCCAAACTACTAAAACAAGCTTTGCCTTCAATTAATTTGTTTCCTGCCTACAAGACTGTTGTGTTTTTTCCATCCATTTAGCTGCTGGAAAGCCCAGGGAGTCACTGCTGCTGCTCATGAAGAGCTGGCCAGCCTTTCCCTTGCAATAAGGCAGCTTCTGGGAAGGCTTTAAGGTGAGGTGATTCAGCAGGCATGAAGCAACAAGCTCCCCTTCCTGTTTGCCTCCAGAGTGCAGCAAAGGGTGTTAGAAAGGATGTTGGGGTGCCTGCAGCAGAGCTGGCTTCATCACGGCGGTGAATCTGACAGCAAAACAGCGATGTCTGCAACCAACCCAGCAACAGCATGGCAACAAACACAGCTCCAAGTGCCTTGAAGTGTCGTCCTGAGGCTGTGCTGCTGTTTTCTGTGTCAGTGCCTGTAGGAAACGTCTCAAATGGAGTGTGGGAAATGAGCTGGTGTGCTGGGAGATGTCTGTTGGCTCAGGCTGGGCTCTCTGGCACTCGAGGCAACCTCGACTTCACCTCGCCATGGGTTTTCAGTATGCGAGCAGTTTGCTTTGTTGGTTTTGTTTTTCTCCTCCCTGTCTTTCCTTGTGTCAGGCTAACAGCATCGACCTGGGAGGGGGCTGGCAAGCAGCGAGACAGATCTGCTTTGGAAATGGAGGTTTGGGAGCGTGTGTTGGAATGACAGAGCTGCTCCACAGCTTGTCTTGCCTTACTGCAAGGAGGGGGAGGTGGACTCATTCCCGATGCTGCACATTGCCTGTGCCACTCTCTGTTTTTCTGGGGTAAGTGCCTTGTTTTGAATTCTGCTCTCATTCCCATGACTGGGAGAAACTGGTATGAATGAGAGAGATCCTGCTGAGCCCTGGGCTTGCAGCGGGCAGCAGCATCCTAGCATGAAACCTGGCCCCAAAGCAGTGCAGAAAGGCAGTGGGGTGTCCCCGCTCTCCATGCCACCATGGTGAGGTGGTGCCTTGATTTAGGAGAGCAATGCCCACTGTACCAGAGAGTCTGGAGTGGAAACCTGAGCCTCAGATCCTCATTTCATCCTGCCCAGTCCTGCAGCAGCTGCTTTCCTCTTTGCCTGATGACACAGAGCTGGTGAGCGAGCTGAGTTTACTGAGGCTCCATGGGGAAAGCAGCTTTTACTGTTCTCTGTGGGCTTTCTGAGTGTTTTCTTGCAGATAACCCTGGATACTGAGAGCCTGTCTACATCCTTACCTTGGGGAGAGAAAAGCCATGGGGAGTGGAATGAGCAAGGTACTGAGGGCAGGGCTGAGTGCCTAAGGGTGTTCAACAGGTGGCAGCTGGCTTTTGGGTCTCCTTTGGGTGGTACAGCCGTGGTGGCACAAACTCCCTGGACTGACTGGGGGTCCCAGGAGCTGTGCCCCTGTTTGTCCTCCATAGGGATGTGTCTGTAATGTAAACAGGCAGTGGGGCTGCGCTGAGGTTGGTGCTCAGAGCTGGCAGGAGGGATCGATGTCTGTTTGTATCCTTAAATAACCACTGGTGTATGCGTTATCCAGGTTAAAATTAGACACCAGGATGGCAGCAGAGCAGCACTTGGGATAAATTAGAGCCACTCTGAGTCTTTTTATTGCTCCTCTGGGTAATATAAAGCAATGATTTCTCTCCATCCATCCATCTCGGAGCACAGCTCTAGATGCAGGGGATCTTTTGGGCTCAGGATAGGCTCCCCACGAGCATAACATCCTTCTCCATGATATCTATCCACCCAGGGTGAGGAATGCCCTGGTGTGGTGCTGCTCACTGGGTTTGTTAAGCACAGAGCCCAGCAAACTCCATATGGGTAAGCTGTGCATTCACCCTGCTGGCAGAGGAAACCTTTGGAACCATTTGCAAGACTGGTTGCTATAGAACAGCCAAACACAGCAGGAAGCTGCTCCAGGTTGGGCTCTGGTTGGTGGTTGCACGCTTGCACCCAAGTGCACAGCAGCCAGGCCCAATCCATCCATGTGCTGAGTTTTCCTGAGCTCTGTGCTCCTGGAGGGTTTTGGTTTGGCATCCAGCACAGGCAGATTGTCTTGGGTGGAAACAACCTCTGCTGTTTGTTAATGAAGATGCTTTGTTCGTTAGCTGCTTGGTTCATCTTTAGCTGGGGGTGTTTTCTCCGTGGGGCCCCAGCCTGTGAACACAGGTGATGCTCCTGAGTAACGCAGAAGCATCTGTGGGTTGGGGGGGAGGGGGGGGGTTTGGGAAGCAGAGGGGATGAGTGTCAAACAGAACAGCTCTGCTTTTTGCCACCTTGCAGGTGGTCACAGGGCTCTACCTGGGGAACATCCGTGGTGAGTGTGGGAAGCCTGCCTGGCAGAAGGGTCTTTTTATTTGGAGATGGCTGCAAAATGGGTTTGTCCATCCCAGGAGAGGCCAAACCGATGGGGTTGGCCAACCTTATACCACCGGGTTTGGTCCCATGGGGTGGGAGGCAGTGGGATGGAGTTGGGGGTAGGATATCTGTAAGTGTTTGCTGGAGCTGCTCCTGCTTGCAGACTCAGAGGACAGGGACAGCCTGCGGAGGCATGGCGTGACACACATCCTTTCCGTGCACAACGGGGCCAAGCCGGTGCTGGAGGTGAGTGAGGGACGCCGGGGGGATGCTGCGTTGGCACCCAGTGCTGAGGGTGGAGTAGCTGGGGGGCGCACGGAGCCTCCCGGGAGGGTTTTGTAGCTGATGGAGGCTTTGGCTGAGGGCATCCGACCCATGGTGCTGCCCCTGGTAGGGGCCACGAGAGGGCAGCGGAGCCCCACGCACGGCACTGCCGGAACCGCATCCACCCCCGGTGCTCAGGATGGGGCTTGGGGAGGGCTCTGCCTGCTCACCTCCGTGTCGGGCAGCCCCTGAGGGGGACCCTCCGTCCAGGATCAAATCACCCGAGATCGCTCCCCGTCCCTCCAGTGTTGATCCCATTTTCTGGCGTTGGGTTTGGGAATGAGCATTGAGGAATGCTTTAAAATCCTGGAATCCTGAAAATAAGAAGTGAAGGAGGTGCGTAGGAGGCAGTTGTATCCTATTCCATGTCCCCAAAGTGGCGTAATGCTCTGTCACTTCTGGGAGTGACACCTGATGGCTTCTCCCCATCTCATGGATGCCTGCTGCTGTCCTATGGGAAGGTGAAAGGAGTTGAGGGAGGGAAACTGAGGTAGGAAGGAGCTGCTGGGTGTGCGTGTGCTGGGTGCACGCAGGATGAGCAGCCCGTGGGTCTGTGCATGGGAGGTGGTCTTCCCTGCCAAGACATTGAGCAATGAAACTGAGGAGAGAGAAGGAAGGAGGGTGGCAGAAAATGGGGTCAAAGAACTGGTTTGTTCAGGGAAGGTGCAGCAGCTGGGGCATGGGGCATGGCCATATAGGCAGCAGCCTGCCTAGGCAGCTTGCAGCCCGCAGCAGTGCACAGAGCCAGTGGAAAGGGGAACAGGAAAAGCATGGTGGGTTGAGCAATGTGTCAATCACAGCCCCTGGCCGGGGACCGCAAACCCCAGCAGCGTTCCCATGCCTGCAGCCCAGCTTCCCTCCCCCAGGTTGGGATGGAGGCACATGGTCCTGTGGGGAAGGGGAAGCCAGCTGGGGTCCAGCTGAATGTATTGAGCCCTACCATTGGCACGCTGGCTTTCCCAGCTTGGTGGGTTTCCTCGTTCATCCAGGTGCTGGGAAACTGCAATGCATCATAGCTCATCCCAGTTGGAAATCATCCCACGAGATCTTGCTTGTCCTTGTGTCCCAGCTCTGTTGTCCCATTGCAACTTGCTTGCCAGAGTGCTGTGGTTTGCTGGGTGTAGGAATGCACCAAGCAGCAGGTTGGAGAGGATTAGGATCATATCGCAGTACCCTTAAGGTTGATAAAGTCCCCTATAATCTCCAAGCCCATCCCATCATGCCTGCTGACCGTGTCCCTGCGTGCCAGGTCTTGAACTCTTCCAGGTATGGTGACTCCACCACCTCCATTAGAAACGCATCATATGGTCCCCATCCCA